CTCCCACCCGCCCCCTCCCGCCGCGTCCGGGCCCACCCCCAGCCCAGCCCCCGCGACGCACGGCGCACCTCGCTGGAGCTCGCCTCCCGCTTCCCCTGCTCCACGTCCCCGGGCCCTCGCTGCTCCGCCGCCCCACCTCCCGAATCTCGCTGTCTTCCACCAAAGGAGGCAACTCGGGAGCCTGAACGCGCGCACGCTGGAGAGGGCAGGCCGGAGGAGCGCCACCCCGCTACTCCCGTCTCACGTTCCCGCTTTCCTGACGCGCGCCCCGAACCCGCACCCTGCCTCTGCTGTCGCCAGCCCGCTGCCCATGACGCTTCTCATAGCTATCCCATGCACACTCAGGGCACACTCGCTCCCGCCCTCCTCCTGTCGCCAGCCCACGCCCCCTGCTTGCAAAGCCTTCATCACAGGCTTCATCCATCGGCCGCTCCTCGCCCTGCGCTCCTTCTCTCCTCACTGGCGTCCACGGCCTTCCCAGATTGACCCATGCCTGTCTGATATCGGTCCTGTGCACGCCCGCCACCTCGTCTTTACCTCCACCAGTCTGTTTCCCCATTGCTTTCCGCGACCACCTCTGGGAAGCCTCCCTGGACTGGGAACGCCCTGACTCTAACTGTGCCTAAGTTCCCACTTGGTCTCAAGCTGGCTCTCAACTCCCAAAACCCGGAGTTCAGGTAGAGCATTATGGAAGGGAGAGTGGAGGAGGACTGCGTGGAGAAGAGGGCATTCCCAGTCTTTTAGACAGATTTCAGCACCTTTACGTTAACAGCACGAAGGAAGTGTCCCTAATCCTGCAGAGCTGCTTCCCACTGGCTCCCCAAGGGGACAGAGCCCCTGAGCTCATTTTCCCTGAAGCCTCCATTGGACATCACACCAGCATCCACCCAGCTCTCCAGCCTGCTCCCTCTGAATTGAGCTCACCTCTTCCCTGAAGAGCTTTCTGAACTTGAGTAATGCCATGGCTCTACCATAGATTTTGTTTTAGTATTTTTCAGTGAAAAATCAAAAACATCTAATGTCCAAAAAAAAAAAAACTTTTGTTTTTGGAGCGTTTTTTGCTATAGGGCTCATGTGCTCACCAGAAAGAGAGACGGAAAGTGAGAACGCACCCCCCCCCCCCAGGGGGAATGGCCACGCCACCATCCCTTCTTCTCCATTGTCCTCTCGGGATCTTGGGAACGAAGGCACAGGCGCCCGGTGTGAGTTTAAGCCACCGGGTCCGGGACAAGAACCGTGGTCGACTACGTGGGAGTCCAGCGACATAGCCATTACGCTAACTGTTGGTCTCTTATACAATTATTTCAAAAGATCAAGTAAAAGAAAAAAATCCACCCATGATCCCACTAGCTTGAAAAGGCCACTGCTATTTTTGCCTTGACTCCTGTTTCTTTTTCAGATGATTTTTTTTTCCCTATAAGGCACATGCACTCACCAGAGAGACAAAAAGAGACAGGAAGCCAGAAATCACCCCTCAGGGGTTGGCCTTGCCGCAATCCCTTCTTTTCCATTCTTCTCTTGGAATCATGGGCATGCACACATACGTGCCTGGCGTGAGTTTTAAGTCTGGGTCTGGGACTTGAAATGACTATGTGGGAGTCCAGCAACATAACCCTTATGCTATCTGCTGGTCCCTCCAGCTGATTTTTTTTTTAAGAGGTCTTTGTTATAGGGCACGTACACTAGCCAGAAGGACAGAGAGAGAAAGCGAGAAATCACCCCCTAGGGAGATGGCCATGCCACAAGCCCTTCTCCGCTCTCCTCTCGGGATCTCGGGCATGCACGCACATGCGCCCAGCGTGAGTTGTAAGCCACCGGGACCGGGACTTGAACCGCAATCGACTACATGGGAGTCCAGTGACCTAGCCATTATGCCAACTGCTGGTCCTCCTTCCAGCTGATTCTTACACAGGTATAGTCATAATAGATTTACAATGTTGTATCCTACTTTTTTTTTTTTCTTTAGCTCTTTGCCATAGGCTGTATACACTTGCCAGAGAAAGAGAGAAGGGAAAGGGGAAAATAAGAAATCACCCCCCAGGGGGATGGCCACGCCACAATCCCTTCTCCTCCATTCTCCTCTCGGGATCTTGGGCACGCACGCACACGCGCCTGGCGTGAGTTTTAAGCCACTGGGTCTGGGACACGAACCACGGTTGACTACATGGGAGTCCAGCGACATAGTCATTACGCTAACTGCTGGTCCCTAAGTTTCACACTTTATTACCAACTCGTATTATTTTTGGCCAATGACCTTTAGTATCTTGGCTTAAACGATTCTACTATTCCACTGAGATTTCTAAAATAAGGACCACACTAAGAATTTGTGGATTCTAGGCATTTGGTCTTCATGATCTCTTCCTCCATGAAATAATATTTAAAAGAATATTGTGTGATTCATTGGTATAAAGATCAACACAGGCTAGATTCATCATTATATATTAATTTTTATTATATTCACTTTTTCTTCTTTTTTTTTAAAGAACTATTTTATTGAATTTTATTTATTTATTATTATTTTTTAGTTTGACCAGATAGAGAGAGAGAGAATGGGAAAGTGAGAAAGCAAGTCGCAAGGTCTGGGACTCACACTACAGTCGACCATGTGGAAGTCCAGTGCTCTTAACCACCACGCCACCTGCCTGCCCCCATGTTTCTTCTGATTTTAAAATAAAATCAAGTACAGGGGGCCTTAAGCACTGCGCCTCCAGTAGCTTGGATGGCCCCATCTTTCATCCACTGATCCTACCTCCTGTTCACTGTCTGCTTCCCCTATTACATCTACCCCTCCCCTCTTACCCAGCTTTGATTCCTTCATCCATCACTTTGTTCAGAGAGAGATTTTTGCCATAGGGTGCATGTGCTTGCTGGAGAGACAGAGAGACAGAAAGCAGGAAATATCTCCCCCCGGGGGGGGGGGGGGGGGGATGGCCACACTGCTATCCCTTCTCCATTCCCCTGTCGAGATTTTGGGCATGCACACACGTGCACCCGGCGTGAGTTTCGAGCCACTGGGTCCAGGACTCGAACTGTGGTCAGCCATGTGGGAGTTCAGCAATAACACTTATGCCATTTGCTGGTCCCTCCTGATCTGCCATTACAACCAGTCCTCACACATACGCTCAACTCCCTGGCTCCTCTCTCCTTCCATGGTAGTCATCTGACAAAACCCTACCTGCAGCCTCCACCCAAACAGCTGAATGTGGCTGGGGAAAACATGCCTCCACGCAGGGTGGTTTTGCTTAAATTCATGACCCTCACACATAGGCTTGGAACCATCAGAAAGCATGATGTTTACATCACTGGATTCCCACATAGTCAACCGTGGTTCGTGTCCCAGACCAAGTGACTTAAAACTCATGCCAAGCATGTGTGCGTCTGACCCGAGAGGAGACTGGACGAGAAGGGATTGCAACATGGCCATCCACTCTGGGGCCTGATTTGTTGTTTTCTGGCTCTCTGTTTCTCTCTGTCTCTCCAGTCAGCACATGCACCCTCTAGTAAAAAAAACCTCTCTAAAACAAACAAAAACCGTTTGGGTTGACACCAATGCTCCTGCACCTCCTTAGTTCTGGAACTTTCCCACTCACTCCCCCCGAAAGCTATTTCTACTTTCTCCTGCAATTCCACCACCTCTTTTCTCCTCGCTTGGCTGACGGTCCTGCTCCCAACCGTATGGAGAAGAGAGAAGCAATCTGGAGAGGGTTTCCAGGTGCTTCCACGACCTACACGCAACAGCATCCATGTATTCTATCATCCCTCCTCTTACTGTAGATGAACTGCCCGTGTTCTTTCCTAGACGAACCTTCCACCTGAGCACTAGTTCCCATCCCTTCTCGCCTATGAAACTACAAATTCTCATCTCTTCTGCATCATCAATTCCATCTCTGTGGGATCATTGTCATCAACCTCTCGCCCGCCTTAAAATAAACAACTTCCCTTGGGGGACCAGCAATTAGTGTAATGGCTATGTCGCTGGACTCCCACATAGTCGACCGCGGTTCGCGTCCTGGACCTGGTGGCTTAAACTCACGCCCGGCGCGTGTGCGGGCGTGCCCAAG